GTGGGTTTGAACACTGCCTGGGCCTGCTAAGCAACAATGACAACTATAACAAAATAGCCAGGTGTTGTGGTGGGCACTTGTAGTCCCAGCTACTTAGGAGGCTGAGGCAAGAGAATCACGTAAGCCCAAGAGTTTGAGGCTGCTGAAGCTGTGACACCATGGCACTCTCCCAAGGGCAAAATAATGAGACTCTGTCCCCACCCCACCCCCAAAAAAATCATGCTTTCAAAACTAATTTAATAACATCAGCAAATATGATATATTCTTAAGTGAAAATAAGCAACAAAGTGTATACTATATGATTATATATGTCTACAAAAAAATGACAGAGAAAATATCAAAATATTCACTGCTGGTGATATTGTCCATGGTTTTCTCTTTTCCTGTATTTAAGTTTTCCATACTAAATATTTTTCTCAGAAAAAATATTTTTAAGACATGAAAAGTATGTTTTCCTTAGCAGCCTCCAATGCAGAACCAAGAAGAATTAAAAAGATAATAAATGCATAGTAACCAGGTAGAAGGTGCTATTTTAAAACTCTAAATCTATTCTTTGAAAAGGGAATTAAAATGATGGAAAACAGGAGAAAAGTTTAATTAGCTTTTTACATGTATATTTATTTTATGTTTTAAATAGATATTTCATATTGAACCTCAAAAAATGGATATAAAGTACACAAATCTCTTTATGGGGAAAATGTACAGCCTTGACACTCATTTTGATTAAGTCATGATAAGCTCAGGTACAAAGAAAAGTTAAAGAACTGGTCTGACTGCCCATTTGCCCCATTTAAGCTCCTTACTAGCTAGCTTCAGAGAACTGCAGATTCACAGAAGGTAAGAGCCCTTCAAAGTCACTCCATCTGACTGTCCCATTCACAGTGAAGGCCACCAAGACACAGAAGAGGAAGTAGTGACTTAGGTCACACAATGGATAGAGATAAGCTAAGACTGGAACCTACCTGTCTGACTCCCATACACATGATCAGAAACCCATGTGAGATCGCCCCATCCTCAATTGGATCATAAGGGTTTGAGAGCAGGTCTGGGTGGTATATGTGCCCCTCACCAACTGAACACCAGCCCCAGGCCCTTCCACAGTTTCAGGAGGGCCTCGGGCTGCTGTCTGGACTCACCACCTTCTGCCACGCCTGCATGCCTGCGCTGGATGTGGCCCCGAAGAAAGGTGGCATTCATGAACGTCTTGTCACACAAGTGGCACTACACAGAGGGGAAGCAATGGGGAATGTAGGGTTAGATCACCTGAGTCAGCCTAGGATTTTCCCTGTATCAAAACTTCCATTCCCTTGGGACCCCTGGGCTGCCTCAGAAATGAAGAATTTGATTTACTGAGTGACATCAACCTAAGCCACCCAGTAGAACTCCTGGGGAGCTTTAAAATACAAAGTCAGACGAGTAAGTTCAAGAATTCATCCTAGAAACAGTGCTACATACATCATTGCTAAATGTCACTACACAGTCACCAGATGGCCAAAGGGAGTACTTCAAAGGGGAACGTAGTATACTCAGCAATAAGGAATGTAGCACCTTAGGATAAATTCGCAAACTTAATTGTCCACCGTCATACTACTAATGCCCTGGGGAACTCTCAGCACTGAATGGATATTTGATGATATTAAGGAATTTCTGTTGATTTTTCAGATTTTTGTGATGAAGGTGCTGTGATGCTTAGAAGTGGGAATCCTTGACTTTTAGAGATACTTACTGAAATGTTATAAATAAAATCATGAGTAATATGCTTCAAAATAATGCAGGAGTGTGGGTAAGTAGCCAGGGGAACAAACCCAACAACATTGGCCTTGAGTCAGTAACTGTTGATGAAGCTTCATTATAATGTTCTTTCTACTTTTGTATGTGTTTGAAATTTTCCATAATAAAAATTTTTTTAATTATATAATAAAATGTATATCTCATTCTAGGGTTGAGAGCCACCAGCAGCAGAGGTTGACAAATAAATAGCATTTATAATTCTACATCCCTCTCCTAAGGCATCTCAGACACTGAGAATCTGTCATGCCATCTTTTCACTGTAGAACTTCAGAATTCTTCTCAACATTGCTTTGGAGGCTGCCACTGCTAGTTAATCAGAGTTATAGGGCAGATTATTTGCTAACTTAGTAGATAGGCAAATGCCTCAGAAATTGTTAGTTGTCCCCCCATACCCATTTTCCCCTTTCTTCTTTGGTAATAGAAACTCTCATTTTTAGCTGGTACTGAGGCCAATGAGAATAAACAGTGTATGTCCAGCCTCCTTGCAACCAAATGTGACCATATGAATTACTACTGAAAGGGTTCTGACCCTTAATCACAATGCCAGATCAATCATATCAATTACCATTTTATTAATACTCTATCTTTCCCACTGTGAAGTTGTAATACAATAAGAATATATATCTGATCTTCATCCCTAATTCCCAGCATAGAACTACTAAAACATTTATAATTTCCTGAATGATGGGGGTGATAAAAGCATCTTTTGTAATAATATTTGGAATTAGTCCCCAGCTTGTGACACAAGGGTTTCTGAGATCCTTGGAATCTCCAGAGGGATAAGAGCATCTTTTGTATGCTAATGGAATGACTGGTGGCTGAGGGCCCATGGATGACTTCAGGATGGGAGATGGTGTCCTGAAAGACCAAGCCATGATTAGAAGATTGAAACTTTTAGCCCTACCATCCAATCTGAAGGGAAGGGGCTGGATATTGACTTAATAACAAATGGTCAGTGATTTAATCAATCATGCCTACATGGAAGGGCCTCCATGAAAACCTAAATGGTAGGATTTAGAAAGCTGCCAGATTGGTGAATGCATTAAAGGTGATGGGAGGGTGGCACACCCAGAAAGGGTGGGGAGCTCTGAGCCTCTTCTCCTATCCCTTGCTCTATGCCTCTCTTCTATTTGATTATTCTGGAGTTTTATCTTTTATAATAAACCAGTGATAAAGTATCTTCCTGAGTAATATGAGCCATTCTAGCAAATCCTTAAACCAGAAGAGGGGGTTGTGGGAACCTCTAATTTATAGCCAGTTAGTTAGAAGTTTAGGGACTAGCAACTGGCATCTGAAACGGGTCTAGTCTTGTGGGACTGATCCCTTATCATGTGGGATCTGATACTAACTCCAAGTAGATAAGTGTCAGAATTGAATTAAAGGACATTCAGCTGGTGTTAAAGAACTGGTTGGTATGGGGGGAAAGCCCCACATATTTGGTGCTAGGAGTATTGAATAGAAACAAGTCACCCACTCATTCACCCACAAACTAGGAATTTCTTGACAATTAGAATGAGCATAACTTGTGTGTACATCTCACAGCATGGCACGGGGCGTAGACACTATGACAACTTATTATAGAGCAAATATACCCAATCCACACTTTCCATGGAGATAGATTCAAATGCTCAAATGCTGCTCTGGATAATGAACTTGCTTGAATAATAGAGTCACTTTTCCAAAATGGGCCTGAGTCCACCAATCCCTTGTCACACACTGATTATACACATACATTTACAAACCCCTCTCACACTTTTTAACATAACAACTCTTTACATATACACACACACACTCATGCCCTCCATAAGTACACACATTCTCTCTCTCACACATACACATACCATAAATCTTTATGTACACACTTCAGAGTTATATACTTTATAATAAACTATAGATGCAACATTATACATCACACAGTCTACATACACACAGATACTGTACACAGAGGTATCCTTCAAGCATTCATACGCACACATTAAATACAGACACATTCACACCATCCACAAGCATGCACGCCCTCTATACATTCATGCACACACACACCAGACACATACCCTGTGCACAAATGCATGCTAGCTCCACAGGTACACTTCCCACATGCATACAGTCCCCTCCACACACACACACACATACACACCTTGCAGAAACTAATGAGACACCCTCAGGCTCTCTGGCCCTGAGCAGAATCTCTAAAATCTGCTCCTAACTGGGGAGACTGACCCATGGCGACGTGGCCCAGTCAGCACCCTCCCACTCTCCCCATTGGTGGCGATTCCTCACCATGTGGTAGCTGTGGGCACCCGTTTGCATCAGCAGCTGCTGCAGGGTGCTAATCATCTTGCGACGCCGGCGGTTCTCCTCCCGCACGCCCTTGAGCTCGTCGGCCTGGCGGCCCAGCTCTTGCTGCCCACGCTGCTGCTGGCCCAGGCTGGCCTGCAGCCGCGCCTCCAGCTGGGCGACGCTGGTGCTCAGGCACTCTTGGCAGTGCAGCAGGTACTCAATGATGAGCTGTGCCAGGCGCAGCACCTTGAGCAGTGCTGGGTCCACGGGCTGCCCACAGCGGCTGCACACCTCTTGGTCCAAGTTACAGAAGGTGACACCAGTGATGTTCTCCTGCAGAGTGGCCACGTCCAGCTCCCGGACCACACGGTCCACGTCCAGGGCACTAATGCGCCTCCAGTCCATGCTCTCATGGTGGCGAGGCTGAAACTTGAAGATGGGGAATGTGTAGGGCCCAAAGAGGGGGCTGTTGAGGCCCTCAGCAGTGGCAGCTGGGGACTGCATGGACAGGGGAAGCCCTGAGCTGACCACCAGAGAAGAGTGCCACCAAGGCCACGGCAGCAGGCCAAAGAGCTGAGAGAAGGCCTGGAAAACAAGAAGAGAATCCAGCTTAGGTAAGGTGTGCAGCTGCATGTACTCAGCTGGCCAGCGGGAGCCTAAGCAGGGCGAGGTGAGCTGCCTACACGGCAGCCGCAGTGTGCATGGGGTACTCTGCGTGGCCAGAGCTGTGTGGAATGGTGCTCTGCAATTGTGCAGCCTTAGGTTCTAATCCTCTGCCATGGGAAAGTCCCTCCACATCATTAAGCTTCCTGTCTACATGGAGGGTGGTGAGGCCCACTTTGCAGGCTTGTGGTTAGGAAGGCAGCAGCTAAAGCATCCAGCCTAGTACCTGGCCTATAGCAGATCCTCAGTGAAACAGCCATCCCACCTCCCCTGCAGGAGTGCCTGGCAGAGGTCTTTGTCTGTGCGGAGCTGTAAAATTTAGGAGCAAGTCCTTCTGCAACCCCGTATTTACTTCAGGATAAAGCCCAACCACCTACGGTAATTATAGGATTGCCATGAAACACGGGTAGACTACATTTCCCAGCTTCCCCAGCAGTAAGGTGTGATCATATGGCTAAGTTCTGTCCCCTGGAACAAGACTGAAATGGTGTACATGGCTGTCAAGAGGGCTGAAGAGAGCCACTGTGTCTTTGCTCAAAGTACGGGGATAGGTGAAATCATACCTAACGGGTACCACATACACTGTCTGAGTGACGGCTCACTTATAACTCAGACTTAAGCAGTACGAAAGCAACCCATGTAACCAAAACCTTTGTGTCTCCATAAAATTCTGAAATAAATAAATGTTTAAAATCTAACAGGTAGTGAAAAGAGCTCCAGTCTGTTGCCCAAAGTCTCACATTCTACTCTCCACACTCTTCATAGGAAATTGTTCTCTCTGAAGAGTAATTTGATGACATCAAAGGGAATTTAAAGTACACATTCCACCATTAAAAATTACAACTTACCCTTCTAGACAAACTCATAAGTGCAAAGCTACTTGTGAAAAAAAAAATTGTCATTGTCATATCATTTGCAAAAGAAAGCACAAGAAAAAGTCCAAGAAAACAAAGTATAATAAGGGATACAAATGGTATCTCTATACAATGAAATATTATGCAGCTATTGATACGTATAAGGCAGCTCTACATATATGAAAAATATGAAATAATAATCTCCTATGTATACACATACAAACAAAAATACACATATATACTTCTATTTCTGTTTTAATGATATATATGTTTGTTTGTTTCCAGTTTCTCTTTATTAGATTTAATGCTTCACTGAAAACTGCAATGAGAATACCCATCATCACCATTCACCGAGCACTCGCTGAGACAAGCAATCTACATTCCACACTTGTTTCGTCCTTACAACCCAACAAAGCCGATGCTGTTGTGGTTTGTTTCATTTTCTTTCACTAAATTATGAAAACAAAATGTGTCCCTGTAAAACCAACTCAAGTGGAACCAAGGGGATCTAATGGAAAAGGCTGAACATTTCCTTCCTTTACCCTCCAGTCTCACCAACGCAACTCTTCACTGACAATACCTGTACATTTCTTGTGTACCCTTCCAGAAATATCTGTGTACATTAAGAATGTATTATTAATACAATCACATTTAAAAAGGACTCACAAAATAAAAGGTACATACCACAGTAGAATGGTTATCTATGAGAAGAGGGATGAAAACAATGAGAATCTTAAATGAATAGGATATGTGTGTGGGTGGGAGATAGTCAGATAGGCTTTACACAGACTGATGATGATAACTTTTTAAACACACATAAACACACATACACATTCATCCTTCAGTATCCATGGGGGATTGGTTCCAGAACACACACCTCCCCGCAGCAAACACCAAAATCCATAGATGCTCCAGTTCCTTTATAAAAGGGGGTAGCATTTGCACATACCCTATGCACATCTTGCCGTATACTTTAAATTGTCTCTAGATTACCTATAAAACCTAAGACGACCTAAATGCTATGCAAATAGTTGTTATGCTGTATTATTCAGGGAATAATAAAAAAAATTCGTGCATGTTCATAATCATCCATTTTTTTTCCAAATATTTTTAATCTGTGGTTTGTTGACTTAACGAAACCCATGGAGATGGCAGCACCTGTGGCTCAAAGGAGTAGGGCGCTGGCCCCATATACCAGAGGTGTCAGGTTCAAACCCAGCCCTGGCCAAAAACTGAGAAAAAAATCCACAGATACCAGTGCTGACTATATATGTATATAAAGTCATACATAAATTATTTGTGTTTATTATAATTTTATAATTGGTTTTGTAAGGGATGAAATACACTCATTTATGATTGATACATGATTCATTTCATAAGCACAAACTACTTCTAGAATGATAGATAAGAAGCTGTCAGCAATGGCTACATCTAGGAAATGGGAATGGAGATTAGAGAACTTTCATTTTTCACTTTCCATCTCTCTATACTATTCAAAGTTCTTCCTATCCTTGTCTATTAATTTTATCATTTTTTAAAAGAAAACAACATGATTTCAGCTCCTAAGGAACTGAGAATCTGACTGAGGCAGATGTACATATTACCCTATTAAATCAAGTCCCTTCTAGATTATGATGATGCAGACTTTTAAGTGCAATAGAAAGTTAGAGAAGAAAGGTCATTGGCCCCGAGGAGGAGAAAATGGTAGGACTGGACTGGCAAAGAGCACAAGAGCCTCCAGGAAAGGCCCCTGACCCCACTGAATCTGTCTTCATCTGTGAAAGGCTGTGACAGGCCAACCTCACCTGCCTCACAAGGTGCTGTGACAAGTGGAGGGGATGCAAAGGGAAGGCACTCAGTGACAGTGGTCATCATACCAGGAGTGCCAGCCTGGGTGCAAGGTATAAACTCTAAATACAAACCTCTAAACAGGACCTATTATTCCCATGTTACAAACAAAGAAACTTGTGTCTGCAGCAGGTAAGTGGCTTGCCCTAGGTCAGCAGTTTTCAACTTGTGGGTCACGACCCACAGGAACTGTATTAAAGGGCCGCAGCACAGGAAGGTTGAGAACCACTGCCTTAGGTGGAGAGGTGCTATGGTTTGAATGTGTCTCCAAGGCCCATGTGTTGGAAACATAATCCCTAAGGCAGCAGTGTTGGGGGTGGGACCTTTAAGAAGTGGTTAAGTCCTGAGGACTCTGGCTTCATGAACAGATGAATGCCATTATCACAGGAGGAGGCTGGTTATTGTGGGAGTGGGTTCCTGATGAAAGAATGAAGCCAGGCCCTTTCCTTCTCACTCTCTTGTTCACTTGCCCTTCCACCTGCCACCATGCCAGATGCCAGCACCTTGATATTGGACCTCCTTGCCTCTACGACTATGAAAAACAAATTTTGGAAGCCTAAAACTCAGCCTGGTCTTGAAACTGCCTGCAGGATGCCACTCACCCATTTTTCCAGTTTCACCTACATATTTCCCTTTCTCAGAAACTTCCTCAACACATGCTCCAAAGCACATTATTACCTAAGATGCTAGATTATGAAGAAAAAAAAACAGCTGGGTGACATGATACTCACCATGCTTAGCTCCAAGTGCAACTGTGCTGCCAGAACCTCAGAGACAACTGTTCACAACAAGCTGTGCCTCAGAGCAACAGCGGGTTACCAGGCATGCTGTGGGCAAGGGTAACAAGACACCTGGTTCTTGTCATTCCACAGATGGTGAGCTCACCTGAGAATTTCATTATTTAACTATTTATACTTTGGCCTCAGATGTTTGCCAACAGTCCTCTCTCTAATGATAAGGTCAAGAATCCTCCATCAGAGACTCTCTGTTCGCTCTCCTCTACCTCTTTGAATACTCCTTCCAGCCTCTTCCTTGAACAGTGGCTATGCTTTCACCTTTCCTTTAAGGCAGGGTGCACCAGTGCCCCCTTGATATTCTACTGTCCATCCACAGCCCATTTCTCCCCACATACTGTCCCAGAGAATGGGTTCACACATATCCACGTAAGCCTGCTCTAAGCTGAGTCTCAGCCACTCTCAAATCTCTTTCTCTGGCCTATCTCTCATGACCGTTATATCCAGCCCCTCCATAGCAATTATGCCATAAATTGCAAACCCATGTTCTACAAGGGCCAGGAAAGTAGCATTAAATGCATGAAATGTGCCAGGTATGAAAGAAACCACAGTACAAACTTGATGATAAGTGGCAACTAACTCCCGATCTTGGAGTCCAACATACAATAAGGCAGTGGTTCTCTAAGTATGGTCCCTGGACCAGCAGCATCAGCATCACCTGGGAGCTTGTCAGGGATGCAACCCTCAGACTTACTGACTCAGCATCACTATAATAGGGAGTGTTATGGATTGTGGCAAACTGGGGAGGGCAAGCCCTGTTTAAAATGGGCAGCCACCACCAAGCTTCAGCCATATTGGAATGGATGTTAAGTGTTCCTCATTAGCTAATTCCAAATTCATTAAGAATGGCATTCGGGACCAGGCGCAGTGGCTCATGCCTGTAATCCTAGCACTCTGGAAGGCCGAGGCAGGTGGACTGCTTGAGTTCAGGAGTTCAAGACCTGCCTGAGCAATAGCAGGACCCTGTCTCTACTAAAAATAGAAAAATTACCCAAGGTTCATGGCAAATGCCTGTAATCCCAGCTACCTGGGGAGCTGAAGCGGGGGCTTGAGGTTGCTGTGAGCTAGGCTGTTGCCACTGCACTCTAGACTGGGCAACAGAGTGAGACTTTGTCTCAAAAACAAAATGCCCTTCAAAGACTTCTACGAACTATATCTACCTTTCTAGCTGCAGCTCCCATTTACCACATTACTTGCCTCCCACACTGTTTGTTTTATATAGGTACTGTTTTTATGTGCTTTAACTTAAATAATCACTCATATAATCCTCATAACAACCCCTCAAGGAGGTACCATTATCTTCTAAGACACAGAGATGTAAGGAAGGTTGGCCAAGGTCCAGAGGCAGGACTCTGGCTCC